AGTGATACATTTGGCAGCTCATGTACTCAAATACAGTGAAGGCGGTACCTTCTTAAATAGCTCCCCCCCCCAACAAGGGGGCGGCGCATTACGCCGTGGAACCTAGTCTTGGATAATTTATGCGATATGAAACAAATATTCATTTCATAACAGTACGCTGATGTTTCGAATATTAACACTGACACACTGAGTGAAGGCAGAAAGGCATGAATGAAAGCTATAGATATAGCATCGTCGTTTTGGTCATACAAGAACACTTAAATGATTTTGGAAAACAGCGGCGAAAAGAAACTCCTTGTGATGCATACACAGTGGTGTCAAGTAGCCAATACGAATCACAGCGGGAAGTGCTCGCAAGAAACTCCCAGCCACCGTGATTTCACAACTGCTATTTGCTCCGTACCCTGTTATCACGTTTTATTAACCTCTGGGTTTTCTGAGAACCTTGAAGCTAATACCGGGACGGTTGATGCTAAAAGAAAGTAGTGCGTTTTGAGGTAGGGAAAACGAACGTTTCTTACGTGGAAGAACCTCTCAGAATGTAACAAAAATGGAACGGTGCCGCGGATCAATGCAGCTTGTTTTGGTTTTATTGCTCTCCCCATCAGGCTCAGAACAGATCTGTTGGGACTTTAAGCAATCAGAATAAATGCCAGGAGAATATCAACGAATATTTGACTGTCTTGTCGTGTAGAAGCAAGGAGTCAGGAGGGAGGGAGAAATTTAACATGTGAATACAATTCCTGCTTCAATTTCATCCTCTCCGAAACTGGAGGACGTCAGTAACAGTTCTGCTTAAATAGTTGACTGATTAGCCGGAAACAACACTCCCTACATCCTTGTCTCGTTCGTGATCTCTTTTGTCACGAATGACCTCGAATCACCTTGAGAAAAAATCAGCCCGTCTTCATGGATGGCGACCTAGCGGTTTTTTACAATCCCGCATGTTCCACTTGGCAACAGCCGTCGTCGATCGATGATCGCTACAAATATGTAGCTGCATGCTAAGCTCTCGTATTTTGCTTTCCCTTCCTTATTTACGGTATCATCCCTTAGTGTGGTTTCCTGGGGCGAAATCCTCATTACCCTTCTTTGGCCCCACCAATAACATATAGCTTATGTTTCTCCCCGTTGGGCTACAACCATGTTTCATTACCATGAGACATCACCGTTAATGTAGTTGAGTTGGAGAGACAACACTGTCTCAAAATAGAATGTGCTTGAACGAGTGACATTTCAGTTTCCGCTCCTGTTGTCTGTTGACTTCACGGCTGAAATGACGTCACTTTCAACACTTTCAATGTCCTCCATGGGTTGCCAATTAAACGTTGCTCGAACCTTCTGTACTGTTTGTGATCGTGTGTGTTTTTCTTCTAGTCCATTGACTTTTAACCTGATTTTGGTACTTTCCACGGTTAACGCAACGAATGTCAAACGTCTGAGTTGATTCGACTGCTGACGTCGATTTTT